AAGAACAAGAGTGCATAAAGGTGAAACTTGGTAAACATTTGTGTCTGCTGCAGCTCTACAATTTTTTAATGGAAGAAAGAGATTTGAACCCATATTATCAAGTTTTGTGTCATTTCAACCTTTTAACTCCCATAATACCTTCAAAAACACAACTTTTTTTAAAAATACGTAAAAAAGTCTGAAGTCTAACATGGCTTAGTATTCTCTGGGAATACTCTAGGCACTAAGTTTTTCTTTTGAATGCCTTGATAGTCTTGAGACTTCATTGTGCCATGCACAGATTCAACACTCCCGATGTCAGAGGTTAGGTTAGGCTAAAAAATGTCCTACCTCCTCCTTGGTGAAGAAGTCCATTTTCTTTATTTCCCCTCTTTTTTCCTAAATGTTTAGTTTTCTGTTCGACTGTGCTCTGTCTGCTCCAAATACATTTTAAACAGAAAATCTCRTCATTTGGACACAAGTTTTTATGAGCTCTAGCTAGGTCTAGTGTTCGTATCAATACATAAAAATTAGCAGACTGTGTCCACATGGCGTAATTTACCAAAGAGACAGAATATGTGGAGGAGTTGGTAGTTCTGATTATTGTTGACAGGGGGAGTATATGATGTTTAATACTAGAAGCACTCGGACAGCACAAACCTCCGCCAAGACCAATTTCTCCCGTCTTATTTAACCACCYGACAAAAATCTGTAGGCTTGAACTCACGCCGTAACGTAGCCCTGGCCAGGTAACATTGCTCAATGGTATGAACCAATCTAAGTCAATCCTCGTCTGTACAAAAGAAATTTAACATTCATCTTACAATATTGAACTTATTAAAGCATTATCTATTAACATTCAAGGTTATTTCCTGMTCWTCTTACRAATTTATGACTTTTTCCCAAATCACACACCATTCCCTATGGGCAATATCAGGTCAGGACTGACAGCTGTCTCACAGATATGACTCACACATGTGACTTAAAGGGGCACACCAATACTATAGCGCCACCTGATGGACACTTTGAAACCCACTTGGGACGTGAAAAAGAAACAATGGTGATTTGACGTGTAAATTCCTGTCTCCGCATCGTGATCCGGAACATCACCAAAATTTAATAGTGTGTTCCTTTGGCCAAGTACTCACATGTGGTAAAAAATGTCATGACAATCTGTACACAAGTTTTTGAGTAATGTTGTCCACAGACAGACAGACAGACAGACAGACAGACAGACAGACAGACAGACAGACAGACCAAAAACATCACCTCGCCCTTGGCGGAGGTAATAAGTATGATAAATCTACTGACAAACGCAGTGTGTTAGCCTGTATGGTTCTATAACTGTAAATAAGACAAAAATTGAGATTGAATCACTAAAACCCAATTCAAATTCCATTTTAAATTGTCCAAATAGTCGCACCTCACCTCTTTATGGAGCGTCTGTGTCTGTCTGAATGTCTGATGAAACTGTGACACTAATTAAGGTCAAACAACTGATTTGAAACATTTCTGTAAGTCAAAGCTAACTAGTCTCTTGAAAGGCACCAACAAATCTGTCCGTACTATCTGTAAACATTTCTTTGTAAAATAAACAACAAATCATTTTGCACAAATTGTTTTAATGTATCGCACAGTATATTAAGAACAAACAGATGTACATTAGACAACAACTTTTACTTGAATCACAAGAGAAATGAACTATTGTTTTAATAAGCTGTAAGAATATCAAAGAAATTATTCTCATCTTGTAATTTGATAATAGTGTGTGGAATTTTAGCAGATGAGTAAAAATCAATTTTTGCATTAACATTGTTTTCTTTTTATTCCAGACAGGACTTAGTGGAGGCCTGTTCCCTCGACCAGGCACACCCAGTCAGTCTGAGTGGGGCGGATTAGGTGGCGGTTCCAGCTCTGCATCATCTGGCTCTACCTCTTTCAGTCTAGGTAGTACAGGGTCAGGCTCAAGTTTTAACTCTGGATTTAATAAGCCAGGAGGAACTGGAGCAGGCTCATCAAGATCAACCTTCCCACAATCTGGGTCAAGCTCAAGTTTCAGCAACACAGGGTCAAGGTCAAGTTTGAGCAACACTGGGTCAGGGTCAAGTTTGAGCAACACTGGGTCAGGGTCAAGTTTGAGCAACACTGGGTCAGGGTCCAGTTTTAGCTCCGATGGGAAAGCTTTAAATAAGCCAGCAGAGAGTGGGAGGAGTCCAACAGACAGTAGGTCATCATCTGGGTCAACAGGGTCAAGTAAAAGTGGGTCCACCAGTTCTGGGTTTAATTGGCTATGGGATACCAGCAGTCGCTTAGATCAAAGTAAGACGGACAATGCACTGGGTAAAACATCTAGTGGGACTAGTTATGGTGGAACTGGATCTTCTACTGGAGGGAAGGCGAATGGACTGGCAAGTGACTCAGGTAGGACTGAAAAAGAAAAAACYCTGTAATTTCCAATCAGAATGGTTTCAAACACAAAGTGTGCTGTTCAAAAATACCATGTCTGAATAAAAGCAGGACCCACTGGACTTCTTCTCAATTCTTTATTCTCGTCTCTGACTCTGATCGGGTACGGCACAGCGTTCAGCACAGGCTCAGCATAAGGCCCTGAGCTAAAACCCAAACACAGCAGTCCAGTCTGTACTGGAACCCAAACACACGGTCCAGTCTGTACTGGAACACAAACACAGCAGCCCAGTCTGTACTGGAACCCAAGCACAGCAGTCCAGTCTGTACTGGAACCCAAACACACGGT